CATGGAGGACCTCTACTCCCAGCGGCTCAGGAAGAAATCCCTCAGGATTATAAAAGACCCCCATCACCCCAGCCACAAACTGTTCAGTCTGCTGCCGTCTGGAGCATCCGGACAAAAACAACCAGATTCAGAGACAGCTTCATGTCTCTGAATAAGACTGTTAAACAACTGAACTGCTGAAACAATTTCATAACATTCATCTGCTACTTAGTAATTATTTATCTATTATCTAATATATCATTCCAATAACTTGTATATAAACTCGTATTGCACTATTCCACTTCTTTTTTTCTCCAAAAACTATTTTTCTTTTGTAATACTTTTAATATAGTATATTTTAATATTGTTTTAATATTGTCTGCTCATCTGTATTATTGTGTTGCATTGTTGGAGAAGCCTGTGACCTAAGATTTTCAACGACATAATTACTCTGTAGCTATGTTAGTTTGACAATAAAGAAACTTGAACATTATCAAATTTATTTTATTTATGTAATCGTTTATTTGGCAGGGACAATGCACGGTAATGAACACTTAAAACATTCAAATGTGTCAAGCGTAACAGTAAATGTATATAATCAAACAATACATTAAGTTACTTGTTTTTTTAGTAATAAGCACCGTGTGTATTTGTTTGGTGTGTAATGTAGAGGCTGATGAGACAGAAAGATTCAGTGTCCTAATATGATTTAGAAGAGGATGTCAGGAAGCAGACAGCACTAATGCAATGGCTCCTGCATTAAGTCCTTAGAGACTGACCACAATGCATTGTGAACACACACAAACACACACACACACACATACAATGTACAATGGATAATTTGACATGCGTATGCCAGAACTTCCTGTCAACGAATACTCCTGGTGACAAACTCCTTGTCACACTAAAAAGATGTGCTCTGTCCTCCTCGTGAAACACTTGTACCAGAAATATCCTCTCTGCTCTCTCCCTGGTGTCAGAACGCTGCTACCCGTCGTCAACTCACATCAGAGTTGAAAGAGAGAGAGAGAGAGAATCTGAGGGATGCTTTATTCCTCACTTTCTTTGGGCGTTTGCGTTTATTCGGCTTGTCACCACCTTCTCGACGGGAGGATGGCTGCCCTGAATCCCCTCAGTCAGCGAAGCCCAGGGTGGAACCAGCAACCCTGATCACACCCGCATCGCATTAGAGACTCAGCACTGCTATCACAATGGAGGACTGAGCATGAAAACACCCTGTCACTGCCAAAAGGATGAATAGAGCGGAGTATAGACAGGAGAGGATATCTGTGACTGAATGTGGCACACAGCGAATGTGCGTGTTTGAGCTTTGGACATTTAAAGCTGCAGCTGCTTTGTTGTTATTTCCTGCAGCGCTGTTAAGTTGAACAGGAGTGTGTTGGTGTGTTTGCCTTTGTTTGACTGCGTATGTGTCAGCCCGGGTTCGACTGTGTGTGTATATCTTTTTTAGGCTTTGTCGATTTCTCTGAAGGGTTTATTGTACCGCAGACAGCTGACGAGGATGCATTGTCTCCCACGAGCAGTCCACACACACTCTACAAAGTCACACTTAAATAACACTCACATTCATAGTCAAGGCTACTTCTATGAGCATTCATGTGTCACTGAGTGTTATTTACTTCTCCTCTGCTGGGCCTTCACGGTCACATGTCAGTGACACAGCTCAACCAACAGCAAAACCACACAACATCTTCAATCTTCTACCCTAAATCCTGTTCTCTATCTGATCCTTCATAAAGTAAAACTCCCCCAAATGCCTAAATCTCCATCCAGACAGATGTCATTTGGGCTTTAATCTTTCATTCATTTTAGTCTTGGTGGCTGGCCTTTTTCCGGGTGATAGATCTGTGATTAGTGTAATGGAGGCTGAATCTTTTCATTATCTTTATGCAAGGCCTAATCCGTGTGCTTGCCGGTGTCTTTAGACTGGATCCTCTCTAAACTGAGCCGGCCCCATGCTGGGAAAGGGCCATCGCTTTAGGGAGCTTACCCTCTCGCACACACCTCATTATAAGTGCTGGATGGGACCGGGAGGTGTCATTAGTGGCACACATCTGAGGTACAGCGCTTTAAGGAACCCTGGCTGTATATACTTTACAAGGTGCCATTCACGTTGGCGCATTTTATTGGCGGAATTTATAGAGTTTATCATTCCCCGCGCTTATGTCTAACCTTGATGTTAGTAATACAGTTAACAAGATATCTTATAAAACACGCTGGAATTGGGAGCATTACAGCTGCAGGTCTATACTCACAATGACTTCTCTAAATCCAGTTAATGAAAAGCTTATTATCTCTCAGTGGTGAAACATGTACAGTATTTCCAATTAAAGAAAAACAGATTATACCGAAACTAATCTTAAATCACCTCTCAAGATAAACATATAGCCTTAACCTTGATTTGACCTGGATTATGTGTGTGTGTGTGTGTGTGTGTGTGTGTGTGTGTGTGTGTGTGTGTGTGTGTGTGTGTGTGTGTGTGTGTGTGTCAGAGATAGAGATCCTTTTCAAGTACATAGCTGATGATGTCAGACTGTAGTAGCATTTTCTATTTTCTTTGCCCACTACTCTAGGCCAGTGTCACACTGCATGCTGCTAGCTGTCACACACCATAACATGTGCAACACACAGGCCTAGATTTCTCTCCCTGTAGCTAACCGCTGACATGTAGCTTCAATAGCAAAAGGCTATGACCGAGTTAAGGTCAGTTTTTGGAGATATAATATCATACTGTACAATAAAACATCACTTTCATGTATGTAGGAAGCAGATGGGGAAGAGGTGGGAGTGTGTATGGGAAGGGGAGGAGAGGATCACTGGGAAGGATCCATCAAACATCCATAATCTATCTTCCTATGACAGGGCACACCGAGCAGAAACCAATTAGCTGCGCGTCCCTTCGGAAATGGAGAAGCAGATACGATAGAAGATGAGCCTGCAGCCGCAAGCTAAAGGGCAAGTTACAATTAACCTACCCCCTAACACACACACACACACACACAAACACACACACACACACACACTCACACACATGCAAAAACGTGTGACACATGTGTGTGTGTTAGTTTAAATTCCCAACTATCCTACACACTGGCTATAGTTTCAATGACAAGCCTCTGGCAGGTCGTGGTAGACTGTAATGAGCCAGGGAACACTCTTGGGCTGCCAGGTAGAAATTAGGTCATTGGCTATTACCATTATTTTACTCCAGCGTCCCTCTCATTTATCTTCCTCTGTGAACGAATTCCTTCCCTACTACTTTCCTCCCATAAATCTCAATTCTTACTCTCTACTTTCTTTGTGTCAGTCTGTCCCCTCCTCCCTACCTGGCCTCCCGCCGTGGGTTTGGTCAGCAACATTACAGCAAGGACTGGAACAAGGTCACACACAGATACACACACCACACTGTATATAAACACACACAAACACACAGGGCTGCAGGGGCAAGGTCACACAAGCTGTGATTTGAGGCTGTGCTGCAGGAGGAAAGCTGGTGAAGAGCAAAAGAGGAAATGAGGAGAGAGGAGGAAGACAGAGAGAGGCTCGTTGGTGGATGCAAAATTATTTTCTCCTATCCAGCCAGATATAATGATCCACTACACTATTCTCCCTCTCTATCTGATGCTATCTGCTCCTACAGAGATGGAGGGATGAAAAGAGATTGAGCAATAGATAAAAGGAAATCACAAAGTGTGTATGAATGAATAATGAATGCAGATTTAGACCTGGTTTGACCTATTAGTCACCAACTAAGTCATCTTTCTCGCAATACCCAACCCCCCCCACCCCATTACGATGTGAAACTTTGTATGTGTCCCGTTACAGTCGCCCCCTATGTGTGTGACAGAGTGTGTATTCACCGAGCTATCGGTGTGTGTGTGTGTGTGTGTGTGTGTGTGTGTGTGTGTGTGTGTGTGTGTGTGTGTGTGTGTGTGTGTGTGTGTGTGTGTGTGAATGATAACATGCTAACTACCTGCTCATGCCACCACCGCTTCAGATTACCCCCCCTCTGCAAACACGTCCCCCGGTAACAGAGGAAGAGTGGGGGGGGGGTGGGGGAGGGAATAGGACCACTGTCAGTGGCGCGGAGATCAATGGAACTAGAGGGGTTGAGGGGGGGGGGGCGAGGGAGCGGTGTGCAAGGCTAAATATGTGGCCCACTGTGACCGGAGCCTGACTCAATATGCCGCCGTTTTATTTACCGACTGAAAACACACACCCCACTAGTCCCACTCACACGGGCTTTAGTAACGAATGGCTGATTTTAGGCTAGAGCCAGGAGATGCTGAGGCTGCGGTATCCACATGGAAACATGCGGTTCACACGGTAACAACGGCACGGATAGATAAATACATGCTTGGATTGCTTTTGATTAAAAAAGATATGCTACCCTGCAGACAGGATGTGGAGTTAGAGACAAAAAGGATAAAATGAGAGAAAGAGGAGGGAGGGAGGCATTGGATTGGTTCATATATATCTAGCTCACTGTGGCAGTGGGTCAGATGAGACTAGGACAAAACACTCCTGTGGTAGCTAAGGAATAAACAACCAAACAATGACAGCCCTCTGGAACTGCTTACTTCTGCAGATTCATTGGGGGACACAGAGCTAGTACACATCCACATTACTACATTTGACACATATAGACTAAGCATATTTGACTGCTACAGTGATGTAAACATGGGGATTTGTTTGCACCACCTCCAGAGCGAGGACTCTCCCTATCTCATAGTGAAAAGCAGTTAGAAAAACACACTGATATTATGCTCTGGTGCAATAGAGACTGAACTCATTTAAAATTCACTTTTGATACTGGAGCTACAGTCAGAGCTGGAGGGAGCAGAGGAGAGACGAGGGGAGGATGTTTATCCCTTCCCAAGCCCAATTAATCAATAATTAACTGTTGTTAACATGTTGACATAATTGTAACCTGTCCTAAGAGGTGTCATGCTTCAATCTTTAGGTTTTCATGCACAATACGGATAAAATAACAGACTCACCAAGCATTTGGCTGAAAAGCAGCTGCTCCAGGTCTCCCAGAACCGTCACCACTAACTCTGGGTCCACCTTCAGAAAGCTCTTATCATCTTCTCCCTCTAAACCCTTCCTGTCTTTCTTCTCCTCTGTTGACAGAGATGCACATCGCATCTTCTCTCCTAGTTTCTTGCCATTAGTCCCAGTATTCCCAGCTCCATTGGAGTTAGCCTTAGTGTGGTGGTCTGCAGGGTCTGTGTCAGCACTCTGGCCTGCCTCAGAGGCCTTGCTGATCGGCTTGACCTCAGCATAAGGTCCCCGTGGTTTGCCAGGGGCAGGAATTCGACTTGGTTTGCCCCCGTTTGAGGTCACAGACGGTGAGCAGAACGGTTTTCCCTGAAAAAGAGACTGTTCAGACTTTGAAAGGGTCCTGGAAAGTAGTGCTTTCCCAGCCCCAGCCTGAGGTACCTTCAGACCCGGCTTGTTGGTGCCAGCACCCGGCCGGCTCGAATCATCCTTCCAGTTGGGAGATTGGTACAGGTGCAGCTTCTTCTCAGCATCAGTAAGCACACACAAGTTGTTTAATGATCTCTGCTTGCGGAGACCGGACGGATTGGGGATGGGGATAGATCCAGAGGAGGGCCGGTAGACCTTCAGCTCTGACCTGGAGGGACGTGAGGGTCCCTGAGGCAAAGCGGAGGGCTTGGCCGGGGGCTTCCTAGAGGCCATGGCCTGGGCTGATGTGTCCTGGCAGGAGACAGCCGCAGACCTCAGGTCTACCTCTCTGGGCTTGGCCGTCATGCTAATGTTAGCCACATTAGCCTCCAGCATCCCTCCTGCAGAGAGCCAAGCAACAGCATCAGTGACACACTGAGATACACACAAGCAGACTGAAAGAAATGGAGGAAGAAAAGGCTAGAAATAAGGTGTAAAAACTCAAGACTGTCTGGTTTGCCCCTCCTCTCTGCCACTCTGCTTTCAGTGGGTCCAGACTCCCCGAAAATGAGAATAAGGGTTCCCCCCCTCTGTTGAAAATGATGTGTGGGTTATTAAAGTGGCTGCTGCTGTCACCCTTACTCACGGCTGGTAATCCATGGATCTGCAGTTCTGTGTCCAGAGCCTAAATCCACGTCCTCACAGCGTGTCTGCGGTTCCTTGTGCCACAATAGCGCTGCTAGAATAAAACACGCTCTGTCTCCCTCTCTGCTTCTCTCTCGCTCTGTATTCCCTCCCGCTCGCCAGGCAAGCAGCAGCCGACTGACAGGAGAAACAGTCGCAGCAGCAGCAACATCCGCCCTCCCCTTTCTCTCCTCCCTCTACCTCTTCCACACTCACGGGTTTGCTCACTCTACCCCCGCTGGCTCATTCACCCTCCCTCTCTTTCTTACTCCTCTGTTCTTCCCTCCTTCTTTCTTGTTGTCTCTCGCTCTCTATCCTCCCACTGGCTGATTCATCCGCCAATCATCTATCTCTCCCCTTCTTGCAAACGCGCACCGCAGATGCCGGGTTATGCTGAACAGCAGTGAAGGAAGGAAGGAAGGTCAAAAAAGAAACAAAGGTATATTCGTATTGGCCTCAGCTGTGTGTGAATGATATTACATGCCAAATATTGGAAGCAGAATGAAGACACACTCACACACACATTCAATCAGTCATAATCACATTAGCTGTTCTTCTCATCCATTCACATTCAGATTTTCTTATGTGCCCTAATCACGAGAGGCCCACCCATGATTAAGCTGATTCAAAGGATCTATAAAACAGCCGTGACTGCAGGATCAGCTTAGAGGAGGAGAACAGGACACACATTTAACATCCATATTACTCAATCAGATTTGTCAGTCACTAATCATGCTTCAATTAGCAGCTAGCAGGCCTCAAATGATCATCACTGCCCCTCCCACCTGCATCATATTACCTCTCAACTCATCTTCATTGCTCTTTTCTCATTTCCTCCCTTCCTTTCCTTTCCTTCTCTCCTACAGACCCACAGTATGTTGCCCATCCCCCCCAGTTCATATAGAAGCACAGGCCATTAAGTTGTGCAGGGTATAGATTCATCACAATCTCATATCTAAGCACACCCCTCTGATTTAAAACAAGCACACGTGCACATGTAGGGGTGTGTGAACGAGTGTCGGTGTCAGTATACTTTTGTCTCTCCTCCCCTGCATGTGTACGAGTGTGTGTGTGCATGGGTCTGTCTCCACCAACGTGTCACATTGATGAGACAGGCTCAGAGAAGGCCAAGCTCCCATCCAGGGCCTCGGTTTGCTCTGGCACGGTCAACTACGTCACCTCATCGCTCTGGACATCCCATCTTAATCAACAAAGGACACAGGAGGAGCTCTTCTTCACCCACTTTATAATGTTCTTGTTTCACTTGCCATCAACTGTGATTCTTTGCTGCAAATAGCTACAGAATGTATTCCAGTAATGCCTCGTAAAACAAACAGAACAGGGTGGAGATAAGAGGGACAGGAAAATAGTATATTGTCGTCATTTCTCCTTTGTCTTTTGATTTCCATTACAGGTTAAAACGATGACAGAGCATAAAGTCAACTTTAAGTCCATTAATGCTTATTAACAATCAATAACTGTAGATTTTGTTTTTGTCTTTTAATGCATCCTGTCTGCTGCAAGTATTGGAGTGTTTGTGCTCTGGGCGTTTTACCATTAGAGCACTTTCTCTTGTATGCAAGCAGCATAGCCTGCAGCTGTGATGTTATCAGGTCTCAAACTGTTAGGAGTAGTATTCAAACAAGCAGGGTGCTGGGCTTACGGCCATGTTCTGTTACATTTGCATAAATCGGTTGACTCTCAACCAGAGCGAAAACAACCAATGTCCTGTTTTTCAAAGTCCACACACAGTATTAGATACTCCTTTTCCAAAAGTACCCAAACTGGCACTAATTGAGCCCAATGATGACAACGTCCATCCATCAGATCTTGAATGAGTTTGTGTAATACAGGAGCTCAGTAGCAGACAAAAACACAGACATACATTGGCTGTTTCATTGTGTAAAGGCCGAAGCCATTAATTAGAAGCAGCTAGCTCTAATAAAGGGCTTATGTTGAGGAGGTTCTGCCGCAGAGAGGCCATGGCTGTTTGGTGACAGTTATGGGGGCTCTGGGGGCAGGTAGCCGGCCAGTAGGGGGGTAAGGGATGTAATTTAAGGCTAATAGGTGCTATTTGTCAGTTCTTATACCTCCCTGATGAGGGATTAAGGCGAGTGGCCGTATACAAGGCAGGTCTGTGTGGTGCACAGATGCACATGGGAAAAGACACGCGTCAGTGCTCTTGAAAGAACGAATACACACAGGTAAAGTGTGTGTTGGCAGCACACAGCTACTTGTTTGTTCAAGTACTCGTCTCTCTGGCTCCACAGTCTAATCACTTTAATATATGGCTGATGTAAACTCTCTCTCTGAGTCTTCGCTGTTAAGCCGATACACACACACTCACGCACACACAGAGCATGCTGTCTGTGCAGGGTGTGTGACTGACCTGAGCAATCTGGCCTGACATCAGAGAGCTGGCATGAGTGTGATGAGTGCCAGTGCTCAGAATTACCCTACACATTCATCTCATACAGACTCACACATTTAGTATGCAAAAGAAGTGTGTGTGTGTGTGTGTGTGTGTGTGTGTGTGTGTGTGTGTGTGTGTGTGTGTGTGTGTGTGTGTGTGTGTGTGTGTGTGTGAGTTTTAATGTGTTTGTGGGTAAACCAAAGTGGTCAAAGCCATGGGAAATTTGCCACGATGACGTGGGCAAACCGTTCCATACACTTATAAAGACACTTATTAAGCAAAGTTAAGTAAATGTAGGAGAGACAGACAGAGATACAGGTATGAAAGGATAGATTGAAAACAGAGTTCAATAGAATGAGAGAGAGACAGAGAGACAGAGAGACAGGCAGTGAGAGGCAGGGTGTTTCTGTATTTAATTTTCCCTAGCATCTCTAAACAGTTAAGAACAGATTGGCCACTATATTTACAGAGCAGTCATGTGAGGTAGCCACTAAGACACACACACACAGAGACACTGTGTGGCGCATTATATGCAAGTTTACAAAGTCACACAGTGTCTCCACTCTCCAGCTTTTAATGGAAAAGTACTGCGAGAGCTTTTGATGTAACTAATTGTATCAGAGCAACGTAAACCTGCAGACGAACGATTCCCATTGCACTAAGCAGATGGCGCGCATTCTCACTTTCACCCACTCCCTGTTGTCACCTACTCCCTCTTGTTTTGCTGATTTGTGTCCAAGCACATAAGAAAAAAAAAAGTATTTCTAAAGATGAGAGAATGGGACAGAGAAGTGAGAAGAAAATAACATGAGTGTGACTCAGAATAGATGAAGAAAGGGGGAGCGAGTCAACAAGATAGAGCATTCAACATGAAAGATGTATACTGCATGCTACTGATAAGGAAAAGAAGGAAAGAGAAAAGAGGGAATATAAGAATGTAAAAAAATATAATGCAGAGAACTTGAGAGGAGGTGGAGGAGGAGGAAGGATCTCTGTATGTGTGCCAGAGGAACAGAGGAAGCTTGTAAGACAGAGAAAGGAAATCCTGCCTCACCGCCTCGCCGCTAATGCTACGTTTACTTGTGTCCGTTAACACGCTGGCTAGCGCATAGGGTCCACAGGACACAAGGATGAATACCAGACCATGACACACACATAAACAAGGGGAAGGCTCATGGTGACACACACTATGATACTACACCCACACAATAACATGGCTGTTTACACACAAAATACTTAGGCGACAACCTGATGCAAACAATGTGTGGCTTCCCGGTGTGAGTCAAAAATGTAAGTGTGAAAAAGAGAGGTGATTGTTCAACAGTGACACACTGACTGTGGTGGTCTCTCTCTCTGAGGATGAAGTGACTCACTGGCTTAAGCATTTGGGAAGTTCAGCCACTTAAAAGCTATCCATAGTAATGGTGTGTCACTTGTAACCAACTCCTGATTCCGGAGGCACAAATGTTAATCCAACAAAAACACCATTCTCCCGCAGAGCGAGTGTCACACATTCATCATGAGTCACAACCAGCTGAGGGCTGGAACAAAATCAATGCTATCCAGGGAATGTAGAGAAGGGAGGATGAATTTTACTTGTGTGTGTTTAAAAGGTATCGCTTTTTGTAGCTGCTCCCTCACTGTTGACATTCTCAGCACACTTCCCAGGGGTATCCCAAAATGCTGTGCTGCAGAGGCCGGTTGCTTAGTTACAGCGTGGTGTGCATACAGCAGCCATGTATATCATCAACGTGTGTGAGTGTGTGGATTTGTGCTTTGGTCTGCAGAAATAAAACCGCTGTTGCAAAAGTAAAGATATACATTAGCATGTGATTTAAAATCTTATATTAAGGAAACATGTTTCAATAAACATCAGGAATCTTGAGCCAATAAGTCAGCGCCCATGTTCGAGTGTTTGCTTTAATCTGCATGGGGTTATTAATTTGACGGATAGATGTCTTTGTTATTGCATTCCTATGTGTGTGTGTGTGTGTGTGTGTGTGTGTGTGTGTGTGTGTGTGTGTGTGTGTGTGTGTGTGTGTGTGTGTGTGTGTGTGTGTGTGTGTGTCTTACCTAGTGTTAGGTCATCACAGTAGACTTCTATGGATCCAGTTGAGCAGTCACTCAGTTCATCCACTGTAAAATCGCTCTCCTGTGCATGCAGCCTGTAAACACAACCAGAACACAGCCGTCACACTTCTGTTACTACTCATGCAAATCACTCATTAAACCTCTGATTACAATCACACACACAGCAGAGGAACTCTCAATCAATGTGTGTCACGTTGATTTTACTTCAATGCAAATCCTAGAAACAGAAATACTGATAATGCACAAAGTACTGTATATTATTTCATCTTTTTGAAAGAAAAGTCATCTTAATCATTTAAGGTGATATCGTGAATTTTCTTATTCTTAATCCTATAAAGTAAGGTAAGTAATGCGTTCATTTTAGAATAATTTGTTATGCTTTGACTGATTCATTCTTCATTGATTCTTTGCTAAAACACGACACACCACTCAACAACACACTTCAGATTGAGGCTGCACGGTCTGAAACAATAACTCATTGTGATTATTTGGACTTATATTGCAATTAAGACATGATTCATGATATAAGAGGGATTGATCATTTTGGAAGCATTATCATTGAAAAATATATTGAAATGATCATGAAGTGTTATGAGGAGAGATTCATCATGAGAAGGGACTGGTTTTACGATTAGGGGCGTCGTTGGTAGCTTGTGATCAAAGTGTTGATAGACTGCTGTATCACCACTCACCTGTAGCTGAAGGGAGCCACAGTGGCCATGTTGACTTTGGGTGTGTGTGTATCTGTGGACGCAGCCTCCTCCTGTAGACGTCGATCCAGCATTTGAACAGACATCTTGGACATTATTGGCATGGTGAATGTTAGTGGTGGCAGCGGCATGGGACAGGGAGAGCAGGCCGGACTACCATCCTCAGGAGTGAACATCTCCTCGTCTGATTGGCTGGTGGAGTCACTGCGACCTCTGATGGCGTGCTCGTAGCTGGCTAGATCAAGAGTGGGCCGGAGGTTACCGTTGTTCGACTGGGCTGGTCGGTTTTCTGGAGCATCTTCCTCTCTTTGTGGCGTGACCCCCCCCGTTGCCTGGGAGTTGGAGTTGTCTGCTCTCCTGAACTGCAGCGGGGGACGCAGGTTGCTGGTCCCCCATGTTTGGTTCTTATTGGGGAGGGGGGTGTTTCTGTTGCGATTGCGGTCATGTGGGAACTGTGAGGGGATCTGAGGCGGGGCGAGTTTCCCCAGATCCAGTGTGTCTTTGGAGTGTTGCGGTGGTGTCCTGCGCTCCGTCAACGGGCTGTTGTAGGCTGAGCGGGACCCCTGGGGGGTAGGTAGAGCACCCACTCGCTGGAAGAGCTGACTCTTCAGACCACTGTCTCTCTTGGGGTCCCTGGAGGAGGGCCCGGGGATGCCAGAGCTGCGTGGGCAAAGTAAAGGAGAGTGCCTGGGTGTGTGTGTGGGAGTGTGTGTGGGTGTGTGTTTAGGGCTCTGTGTTGAGGGCCTGGGTAGGTCTCCAGCCCGACGGCGGGTGTCTGCTTTGGGGGAGGAGGGCAACAGGCTGTGAGGGAGGGGGATCCCTGACGTGGGAGGAGCCCGGGGGGCCGACTTCACATTGACTCCCCCACTCATTCTGACCTGGAGAAACACAGGGAGAGAAACACCTACGAGTCAACATGTTGAACACTGATGCTAGTTCTTCACATTCAAACTAAATCCACAACAACAGTATCAGTCAGCAATATTTATTCATTTAAAGATTAATTACACTGTGTTAAAATTGAATTACATTTTAATCCAATAACATTAAACTAGAACGTGCTGCTCCAAACACTGAGTGGTTAAAAATCCTTGGTATGTGAGCATGTGAACCGAACACATATGACAAACTGAGTCATTGTAAACCACGAGTTGAGCTTATTTTCAGCACGGCATGAAGCGTCTGCGCAATCAAATGTGCCTGCTGGGAGTTCAAAAAAACAAAAACAGCTTCACACGCTCACAGCTACATCTACCAGCTGCCTTTGGAGCGTTATGTTCTCGGAAAACTTATTTTCTGCATTTAATGAATTCAAATACACACTCCCACAAGCAATCGCCACACACTGCTCTCTAACATATATGAGCTTCAGAGGAGGTTTGAGATATTTCTCACCTGATTGGCTATGATTCCAGATATTCACAGTTCACCTCTCAGAAAAACCCAAGAAATCTAAAAGTCAGCTTGATATTCTTAGTTCCCTTTCTCTTTCACACAGACCGCAGCGAAGTGTTATTCAAGTGAAACATTACTCTTAATGACGTATAATCAAACTACTTGGTTCTGCTCTGCTGGAGGGGAATAGGACGAGAGGCTGAGAGGTGGGAAGAGAGGGAGGGGGAGG